TATATACGTATAAAATAAATGTACGTATTTAAGTTGACAAATGTTTATTATATTATTGCGTGTTATAAAAAATTTTGAGTTTAGAACAGAAATTGAATACGATTGAATACCTCTTTAAAATACCTAAAATGGAACTAGTATAAAATAGTTTATAACAATTTGTATATTTTGGATGGAACTAGTATAAAGCCTAACTTGATAACGAAAAGGCTAAGTAATTTTTACGTTAATTTACAGAAAAAAAAAAAATGAAATTTTTAGGAGCGACTAAAACGTCAATATAGTATTGTAAAACTTACAGTGAAGCTTATTTTTATTTAAATACATTACAAAAATTGTGATTAGTTATTAAATAAACTAATACAAATTCCGATTAAATTATTATCCAGTAATTATTATTTTTTTATTATATAATAATTAATTGCTTGTAATTAATATTAACGTCTTTACTATGTATCAATTACAATCACAAAAAGAAAAAAAATTACTTAAAAACTGCAATGTGATTGCTCTTTTTGGACGATTTTTTGAGGTAGAGGTGATTTAATTTTAGATTAGGGTGGTTTTTGCTAATTTTGAGCGCCTTTGGTTTTATTTCACTATTGCTTAGATTTTTTAGATCAAATAATTATAGATAAGGTTAAGTTAGATTACTAATATTTACTACGATATTATTATCACCACGTCTACTGGACCATTGTATTGCCGTTTATTTGGCATGAACCATTGTGCTTTTATGCTATTCCCACTTTTGAAGAATTTGTTTTTTTTTTTTTATCATCTAGTATCTATATAGTACTAGGTATGTGTAACTTATTGTTTGATTAGTCATTATTCAACACTTAATAATTTCGTACTATTCTTCTATACTTGTGATGAATTTTGGTAGATATTATTATAGTGTGGTACATTACATAGCATATTGCGTTGCTTAGACAAAATGTATATATTCTTTAGGTAAGTCTTTTAAAACATCAATTTTTTCAAATGTATGGGTTAATACTTGGCTTTCATATTTAAATTTTAACCTATATTTAAACGAGTGCAAGTTGTTTTTATGCTCGATACCTACTCGTATAATGTATTTAGACTACACACTTATACACGACGATAACAATAATATAACACCTGCTTAATGATACGACAATATATACTATGCCGAATATTATATTATGCAATGTGATCAGATAATCGTAATACTGCAATAATCCTTCACAAAAAGTTATGAATTTTGACTGTCCTTCGAGCTCGAAATATTTTTTAGCAACCAATTTAATAATATCCATGAACGATAATAATCTTATTGCCTACAATAATTTCTTAAAAATCTTAAAAATAGGTACTCCATTATATATAAAATAGATTTAAAAATTTTAACAAGTGAAACATTGTACCAATATAATATCATTGTATAAGGTAATTTTACTTTTTAGAAGTCAATTTTAAAACACTAATAATACTATAAATGAATAAGTGTATATAAATACTTCTGGGATTACCTCTCTAATTATCTGTAAGTATGAAAACGGCGATCAATGGTGTTGGACGTATTTTACACCTATAAGGTACTCGAATTTGGCATTATATCTGACTACTACTCCTCTACTAATACAGTACATTTTTATCATGAAAATATAATTTGTACAACATTTACGTTTGGTTTCAAAATAAATCATAAAAGACGTTCTAAAAACTTGAAAAATGCTCTTCGAAACATTAACTAAAAAGTTCAATATTATATCAAAAAATACTAAATTAAATGTAATAAATCTGCTTCTGAGTAATATGTTAAATCTATTTATAATTTAATCTAAAAGATATACGGCTAAAATAAATAAATAACGTGTAAAAACTATAATAACCTTAACCCTATAATTATTAGGACTACTTCCGCGCTCACGCGTTATATCCGAACGAAATATAATTATAATAATATAATCGCCGGTTTGTCTGTTATTCGGTCTGATATTGTACAATATTATGTTATCGTGATAAACCATCGACTACCATTCGTGATCTGTACTACACAGTTAAATACATCAATCACTGGGCACGTCTCGTGAATCATGAATGTGTGATAATATACTTAGCGCTTTGTTAATTTAATCTCATTAATGTTAGATTATACAACGTAGTTTGCAGTAATCCATCTGCAAATCACTCTCGTTCTGTTCAAATGGCGCTGAATATATTCATGCTATGCGGTAACAATTTTAGTATTTTAAATATACCACAGGGCAAACATTTTTTTACGCAAAAAATCATATTTTTGAGTTTAATTATTATTTTCACGAAACAAACTACATTATTTAAATGTTATTTATAATTACACAAATTATTGTTGTTTTTTTTTAAATTTAATTACAAATGTCTATAATATATATATATATTTACTATAATTATTTTTACATCATATAAAAATGATTATTATAATAAGTCAAAGTAATGTTGGATATTAGATTGATTATAAATATAGTTTAGGCGTAGGTTTATACAATATTTTGAACACAATATTAAAAATATTATTGTTTCACTTATTTAAGAATAGCTTAATATAATGCATTATTCATTTAATTCTTTTCATTAATTTATTTTAATTAGTATTATATTAAAACCAAAATAATGAAAACATATAAGTTAATGTAATTTGGGTCTCACGAATTAAAATTATGTTGTACTTAGAATTTATTATGACTAGGCAAACAAAATAATTTATGTAATAAATACCCGAGCTATAATTTTATTATTAATAAATATTGTGCAATAATTATTGATAGATATAAAATTATGAGTAATTAAAATTTAAAAATTTTGAAATGCTCATATAAGATTATGCTTCTATAGATAAAAATATTATAAAAAATTTACGTATAGCCTTGGATTCTTAACTTTAAGCTTGATAATAAATACATTTATTCTGATATTAGAAATAATAGAGAAAAGTGGATTTTTCAAAATTTAAAATTGGTTACATTTTGCGTTAATATAAGATGAAGAAATACGCACGGATCTTAAAACGCGTTCGTAAGACTTAACTACGTAGTTATCATGCTATTATTACGTTTGAAAAAAAAAAAATCACTTTTTAATCACAGTTTTGGTATTATATTTCAATCATTTGCGCACAAAACTAGTAATAATAACTACTGTGTTTTTAAACAATGGTGGTTCGTTATAGTATATAGAGTATAATGACTTTTATATTAGTTTGCATAATATTTATCAACGTCTTGTTTTATATTGTTCGGCGCACAGCCTTTTATACTGGACAGCCATGAATATAATATTATAGGTATTGGTAACTACACTTAATTAACTTCTGTTCATTTAAATTGAGCGTTAATTTTTCCCCTATCACTCTTATTTTTTTTTATTTTTGCAACGTTTTTTTATAACATAATACTATAGGTAGGTACTACGACTGCAATGATTTCACTAAGTGTCATCAGTGCACTGGCCCGGAATAAGTGTACTACGACAAATTTTATTCAATTTCTACGTTCATTATATAAATGCATACATACATATATATATTGAGATACATTTTTTAAAATTACTATGTACGAGTATTGTTTTGTTGTACCAGCACAAATTATAAACGATGATAGACAACTTCTTCTTTTTTCTATCTCTTTTACCGAAGCATAAAATAATTATTGAAAAGTATTTAAACATACTAAATCAATAGATTTAGATCTATATTATATACTAGGTAAACTACCAAGCATATCTCCTAAAGCTTTTATGTAAAGATGCATTGATAAAAACTCTGGTTTTTGGAATTTTTAAGTATATTTAAAGACCATTTTTTTTAAATTCGTGAATTTTTGTGATGATACTTATAACTTATAAGCCTATTATTATTTTTAATTAACCTAACCTGACCTAACTATTTTTACTAGAATTTCTGAATTAGATGTTTTTTATAAATATGTTAATGTGTAAAAATCAAAATTTAAACGAGTACTTTTTGATTTCTCAAACTGCTAGTCTGTGATTTATTTATTCTTAATAAATCAAATTAATTTCGAAAAAAAATCGTTAACATTATTTATAATTTTATATTAATATGTATATTTTAATATAACTTTCATATTGGTATAGATCAGTAGAAAAAAAACACTATCTATGTAAAATGAATAAAGGGTATTTTAATATACTTATGATGTTAAAAATAAAAACAAAATTATTAATGTATGAAAAAATTATTTTAATTGAGGCTCTCGGGGCCTCTAAATTTAAGTCAAATTATGTTTGTTTATACAGATATAACTTATAAATTCATAGTGATCTACAAACAATTAATAATTTTTGAATAAGCAGTACTGATATTAACTATAATATAATGGTTTAAGTTTGGATCTGGTTCATAATACGATACAACTATGTCTGTTAGTTAAGTTAAACGTGCTTGAGCGTGTTTTCAAGCAGATTGATCAGAACCTCTTACGAAGCGTCTCTTACCTTGATGTTTTCACTTACAGAATAGCATAGTTTTATTATTTTAAAAATCATCCATTATCATATTATATCAATTATTTGTAATTTGTTGAGTTTTAATAAAAATATACACTATATACACAATATAATAATAAATAATTTAACGTTTGTATACGATATATTTAATGCTCGGACAAACTCAATAATAAAATAATATTGTTAAATCAGCTATCAAACTGTCTTAAAAGTGACAGTCTGCTTAAACTATCATGATATTCATATTAGTTATCAAACGGATACAATTACCACGTTCAATTATCATCGTCCGGACCTAGCTTTCTTGTATAATTGCTCTATATCAAATTTATATATTATCATTATGACGTATTAAAATTGAAATAATATGTGTTTTAATGAACTATCAAGTAACTAAATTTTTTTTAAGATGGTTATAAAAGTATCATATTACATTTCTACGTAAATAAAAATACAATTTATAGGTACTTAAATATTTATTTGGAAAACTATTCTAAATCACATTTTTCTTGTTTATTCATTAGATGATCTCGTCATAGTCAAATCCTACAAGGTACCAACTTCAGAAACTGGAAAGGTAATTTTTAATATTCATTATCCATTAATTGTTTATGTTAGATAACAAGGCTGATAAATGAATATTACATCCGTAAAAATGATTGATTTACGTATTGATTCCAATATTTAATGGAACGAGTTCCGAGGTCAATTACAATTAAGCATAAATTAATTCATGGAATAAAACTGATGTTTAAATAATATTATGTTCCGAACAAAACGAATACAATTATACGGTAGTTATTAATTAAATAAATAGTTAATAACATTTAATTTTATTGTGAGGCTGTTGTACAAACCTACAAAATCCAGTGACCTTAATTATATTATGGATTTAGGTTTTAGTTTGTCAGAATATAAAATAAATGCCAAATTCTTGAATCAACTTTTATAAGATATAATACAAACACAAAAATTTGATTTATATTTGAATTTTAAATTCTAAGCGGAGCTAATTTCTAAAAAAGAAACATAATAAATTATTGTAAAATCAATATTTCTATTTTATGTGTCAGTTATCACCTTTTTAGTCAGTAAAAGTGCTTTGAGTTTTAAATCTGGTGGGTTACTGATAAAAAATATAATCTAGTTAGTATTTAAAGGGGTCAAAAGTAAATATTTCTGAACTTTTTTTAATAATTGGGGGGAGGGGGGTGAAAATAAATTTAAGAAAAAATGAAAATATTTACACGAAACCAGTTTTGGATAAAATTAAAAAAAAAATAACTGTAAAAACTTGGAAATTTTACTAAGTATTAATATAATAATTGTCTATAATATATAATATAATTTTCAAAATATTTTGATTTTTTTTTGAACAATTAAAAGTTTTGTCTTTTTTTTTAAATATATATTTAAAAAAAATTCGCTCGGTCAAAACTCTTAAAATGTAATTCAAGTTTCCCTATAAGATGTTCTTAAAATTGTATAATAATTATAAAAAAGTTTAAATTTGGAAGAAATAACATTTTTTATCGATAAATAACAATATTTATTATTTTGTTATAGTTCAAAAACTGTATTTGTGGGAAATTTTAGGTATATTATGAATTTTACTATACCAAAAGGAATTTTCAAAATAATATCTAAATTAATTATTTTAATATATTACCTATTTATATCATAAACTGGAATATGGATTCATATTGTTTTACAGTTAAGTGGTATTGACTCAAAAAATAACAACATTATAATATATTTCATTAATATAATTTATATTAATTAAATAATTATTATATAATAAATTCAATATTCTCGGAAAGAATTAAATCAGCTTACCGTAATATAAATAGTAAAATAAATGACTTTAATAAAAATTAAATATACTTAGTGACACTAATACAGGTTGATGGTCTGTCTTCGATCAGAACCGTTTTTCGTATACAATGATAGTTATATCATTCAATTCAAATTTAACACATTTATTATAGTAACCTGCTCGATATTTATAATTGTATCGTAGAGTGATACCCATAGCCTACCTTTATTTCAAATTTATCATATTTTTTAATGATAAGATTTTTTTACAGTTTATATTATATACGAATTTTAGTAATGTAAGTAAAACTTAATTAAAAAATATTATTATAAGAATAATTATTTGTAACAAATCTGATTTATAATATTATATACGTCATATTGAATCTGTATAAAATCCAAAAATTTCCCAATAAATATCAGTAAATTGATCTTAAAAAATAAAAGTGTCCTGGTCCTATCACATTGGTTTTTTCCCCACATTTATGTGCAGCGAAGTATCTAAAAACAACTACTTACAATTTTTTAAATTTGATTTTCTTTTTTACTTTTTCTTTTTTTTCAGTGCCTGATGAAATGTATGATCAGCAAACTAGGACTGGTAAACATTTATGCGATAAGTTATTTTTTTCAACATTAAATTTGTGGTAAAAAGTAAAATGTGTTACGTTGCCCATATATTTTACTGTTTCAGCTGAACGACGATGGATCATACAACAAAACTGGCATGGAAGTGGGGTTGAAGAAATACTGGTCGGAATGGTCTACAGACACAATTGAGAATATAAACAACAAGTGTTATGAAGAAGGTGATACTTATAACTTTTTTATATCGTTTTGTGACATGATAATAATATTACCTATATAAGTCGGCGATGGATGGAAAATTATGTAAAAAAAAACGATGTAAACTTATACTATATTGTCCATTTGTATCGTAAATAAATAGCAATATCTAATAATATGACAAAAAAATTGGGAAAATAATTTGAATAATCGCAAAAACTAATCTTTTTCTTGTTTTGGAAAACTTCAAAAGAGCTCACAAAAAAAAAAACTCGCGACATGTATATTGTTTGTAAGCTACTGACGTTTGTAGCGTACTAACCATAACTTAATTAACTGTAGTTAATTTTTTTTTTCAATAACTTGTCCACAATTATTTTAAAGTCGATTTGAAAGTTAACGCAAAATAATAACTCTTAGCTTGACCTTAAAATTAACAAACGTGCGGTTTTTGATGATATACAAGAATATGTTACGTATGCTTGTTTTGCAATTATTAACGAATAAATAAGATCACATAATATTTTCGTCTGAAAACAATGTCCCGGGATTTTTCTTTTTCGCGCATTATACTAGTAAATTATTCAAATTGACTGGAAAACTACAGCTGATATCATACGCGTACCCGAATTCGGTAACTCTGTTCACCGCCACTAACATCACTCTAATAATGCATAAAATACCGTACTAACTATTATAGTTTATCTGTCTATGACATTTAAGTAGCTATATTCCTAAACATATATTTATTACAGCGTTACTAGTGTCAAAGGACATAATAGCGACTTGCAATTATGCATATGTGGTGATGGCGTGCTTGAACAAGCAGTTGAAACTTGACAAATCAACTTGAAACTGGTAAGCGTCACATGAATTTCACATTATTAAATTGTATATATAACTATATAGAAGGTTAAAATTATTATTAAATAATTTACCTAATAATAGTGATGTAAAATTTCAGACGTTTCTAGTAGGAAATTTCCAAAGGTCCAAGGTTTAATTATTTTAGTTTCAAAACTTAAAATGTCCATTTTTGACAAAGAATTTTTCTTGGAAATTTCCTAGGTAACATTACTACGTACAATCGTTTACTATGATATTGTTTTTTCTGTTTCAGTTTGGCATATTGAAGAGATAACCGAATGGATATACTAAAACGCGCCATATATTATTTTTTCATTTTAAAATCATAATATTTCTACTATTAAGATTACTTTTACACTTAAATGCTATGTATTAAACAATATAGTTTATAGTTAATTATAATAAATACATATAAATGTATATACATACAATTAGTTTTTGGTTGTCACACTTTAGGATTTAAATGATATTTTCTGGTTTCCTTGATCCGACAGCGATCACCTTGACACATTTATGCATCGTATAAAATTAAAAAAAAAAAAACATCAAAATAATAATTATTATTATATTATATTGATGTTATAATAAAATACTTTAATTTAATTGGTTCATGATAATGACGTAGCGTTTTATTTTGTCGTTAAAACAATTATTGTTCTTGGAAACAATATTATATATATTCATAATGCCAATATCCGCTTGGAAGTGGAAATTCCGTCAATTTTAATTGTTATTACTGCCTTTTTCCCTTTTTCCTGTTTATTATTACTATTTTATTTTCATTTAGTAGTATATAAACACAGAACTAAAGTAAAACGAATTATTCTTTCGTCAAACTCCAAACCATTGTGATCTTTGACAAAACGCTCCGATAAAATATTATCATTACAATAATACATTGTGAACTCTTATATTAAACATACTTTATTAATTTTTATTTATTATTAGTACTCACGTTTTAAACGCAAAAAATGTTCTCTCTTAAAGTGGCGTGTTTGTGTTTGTCCGTCGCCGTCGCCGTCGTATTCGTAAGTTTAACACTAAATTATTATAAAATATTAATATATTATTATTAAATTTAAAGTTACACATTATTGCTGGTTATTGGACGCACATCATAGTAAACTATTTAATGTAATATAATAACAATTATATTAAATTATAAGGATTTTAATAAATTTGCATAATTTATTTGAATTACATAAAACGATGATTTCTTATCTCCAAATATATTTGAGATGCATATTATTCTGTTAACAATTTTTTAAAGACATTTTTTCATTTTTATGTGATAATGTTTATCTAATTTTAAGAATAAGGAATATGATAAAAAAAATGAATTAAAAACATATCATGAGTATATTTTAAATGATATGTCTTAAAATTATCATATATTATTAAAAATAATAATACAAAATGATTCTACGTGCATAATTTATAGTTTCTGGAAAAAAATATATTATTTTTAAAGGAGATATTTTAGTATTATTGAAATCCGAATCTTATAACAAACCCATGATCCAACAATTTGAGTCACGTTGATTTGATTTTATCCGATCAATAAATTGTTATAAAAAAAATTTGAGTTTAATATTTAATAAAATTCTTATTTCATATTTTTGTTTATATACATTTCGTTAAATATTGTAAAAACTGTGGTAAAATAAAGCAAGTAATTTACCTTTAAATTTAAAATTTACTTAGTTATCTATAGATTGTTCCTATACTTAATGGTGGTTAAAAACTTACTACATATGTAATTATGTGATCATATAAGTATATCGAATACCGGTAAAAATGTTATTTATGAAATTAAAGTTTAAGAATTTAGTGATACTGCAGATCAATAACGAGAAACAGTGTAACTTTAAGTGGATTTTTGTTTGTTGATTTGATTTATTTGTATTAAAATGTTTAGTCCATGATAACTTATAAGTATATATTATATTATATCAAATTAGGAGATAATTGAAGTATTTTATTGTAAATTTAACAATATTATAATATTGTATTATTGGATTGTAGTATTATAAGCGTGACTGAACTATTTATTGTATGATTTTAGGGTGAAAATAATCAACAAAATTCAAATGATCGGTCTGCCTCTATATTCCAGAGTTGCATATCGGAAACAAAGTTGTCCGGTGGTAATGTTGATTATATTATTATCCTTATCAGTATTGTTATGATTAATTATTAATAGGATTGCATGAATTATTATTTTATTGTGACACAAAAAATAATGCATGACTCGGTAATATAAAAATTAATTCACCTAGCATATTCAACCCCATTTCTTCCTTTAATAATTAATGAATTCAAATTCTGATTTTTAGAATTTGTTAGTTTACTTATAAGAACGCATTATTAAATACGAAGATTTGTATTACTTAAATAACGTTCTGTAGCGACTTGTGATATCACCATTTTTTTTTTTTTTTTTTTTAATAAGAATGAAATCTATTATGTATATTTGTAAAACTATTTTTAATAATTATTAGTTTTCGTATACCTACACGTAATTACGATAATTCAAATAATCGTTTAAATTTGAATTTAGATACATTAAAAAAAAAATCTTTTTAACAATTTAAAGAATAAAGGTTAATTTTTATTTGAAAAAAAAATGTTTTCGTCTTCTCATGACATTTCTTGAATGATTCAAAAAATTTAAATAACTATTAATAGAATATTCAATACTCATACAAACAATTTTAAAATTCAGAATAAATTGAAATAAATTGAATAAATTCGTTATTAAAGGGAAAATGAGATATGAGTAAGTATGTTTGGTGAATTCATCCTATATAATTTAATTTAATCTATGAGATATAGTTAACTTCAGTCCTTTATAAATTGACTATTTCGAGTTCACCACACACATAATTTTTAGAATAAGTTAGCAATCTGATTTTTTTCAATATCTATTTGAATTTCGCTGTAAAATAACTATAAATATGAGTACCTACAATATTATATCGATAATCGAATAAAAGTATAAAATATTTAATGTATATTTAATGTATTACAATTTAAAATTAATGCTATTATCTTTACTTATTTCGTAAAATTTGTATAGTTGATTAATATAAAATGTGTATGGTATTTTATAAATTAATTTACAATTACTAGTTGTCCTTAGCGCTTCATTGCTCATACAAAATGCATCCGTGTAAAATTCAGTTGCTTAATGTTAACATTTAACGTAACGCATATAGATAAATAATATTTTTGCTTTTTTAATTTGATGTATAAGTGATATTTCTGACGTTAAATTTACATAACTGTTTTACCCCATGTTGTTTGTGAAAAATTGTTTAGCCATTTAAAAAAAAAAAAGTTCTTAAAAAAATTATTTTTGCTTAATTGACCGATGTCAGACTTAATATTTTTTTTAAAATTATTCTTCAAAGTTATTCTTCTTAGTTATATAATAATTTTTTATGAATTTATTATTTGTTTTTAATCAGAGATAATATAGATGTATAATTGAGTAAATTATTTTCTGAGATTATACATAAAAAAACAACATAGCAGGTTACCAGTTATCGTCATACACTCATACTCATTAAAATTACGCTTCTTATGGGGTATAGCCTTTGTTCAATTTGTTATTTATACTCGTCATTTATAGACGAAACGGCGTTCGTTTTACATCTTTACGCGTGTATTAACTAATTATTTTAAAAATAAATAACTTGATTGTCAATTAACTTATAGAATCGAAAATATGCTTAAAATCTCCGCCCGAACTAATACAGGATGTTACATCGTTATTGTATCTCGGTTTTAGTGTACTTATCAGTTCACTAAAATAACGATAATTTATTCAATAGATTTTTGTATTTATTATTTTAAAATAAACTAAAAAATAATGTTAATATAATATTAAAAATATTCTTTTAGTTGCTCAACTTTACTAGGGAAAAAGTTTTATTAATTTAAATATTATTTGGACAGATGGCACCACTTATATATTTATATTTTATCGCTCAATATTTTGTAGACGGGAGTTAGGTCCATAAAACTATGCTTAAAATCAACCGGCTCTGTATGATCTTTCATTTAAAAATAATCACATGGCAATCGAATGAATGGTACCCGAGATCATTGGCATCTAAAATTCATACATATATCATTTAAAACATATCTATGTAAAAATTTCCTAAAACCTAATTACAGAACCACTTACCCAGTTAAATTGTAAATTTTAACCATCCAAGCACCCACTCTAACACACCAAAATTTTTTGTCAAAATCGGTCAAGCCATTTAGGAGTTAAGTGACGTACACGCGTACAAAGGAATCATACATAAAGATTGATACTGTGCAATACGTAATTATACATAAATTTTATTTTCGTGATATTTTCCGTACCGATCAATCATAGAATTAAATATTACGCAATTTATTTACCAAAAAGGTATAATTTTATTATCCAAATACAATATTTACACACAAACAAAAAAAAAAAAATTAAAACACATGAAACAATTCAAGAAATATTCTTGTGTTTAAACAGCGGATTCACTGTATAAGGAATATTATAAAACCTATATTATTAAAAATTATTTGGCTGGCTGTAGTAATGTTTGTAGTGCATGATATTTTGAATTTTATTTATATTCACAAGAACAATTGAAAATAAATTAGTAACATCTAACATACATATTTTTTTTACGGTCTTATTATTTACTAACTATGATATTACTCGATATTAAAATTAAAAATAATAAATACAACATAAAATAGAAATTACTATTCTTACTAAACTTTGTAGAGATATAATAGCACAAACGCTTTGTTTCAGTGTAGATAAAAGTAAATCGATGTATTATTAATATTTATGAGAACAAATAAATAAGTTTAATACAAAATATTGAATAATTTTCATTTTGTAGTTTGATAGAGAGTATCACAATGCATATAGTGGTGGATTTAGGAGAGGTACTTGGGAGCTGAAGCATCCACTGTTTCGCGTATTTTTATTAAAAATTACTAATAAATTACCAAGTGGCAAATTTTTGATACGGGCTATCAGAACGCGCGCCCCGCACCGTGGAGTAGCAAACACCGGTTGGCGACCACGCACAAATTGTACATAATAAGTAATTTAGGACTATTATTATTAACAAAATAGTACCCACCATAAAAATATACTAGATCCGTCACTGAATGCATATCATATATTATATACAATATAAGACTGATTTCATTACGCGTAATAATAATATTATCGAAAACAAATTAATAATTATAATAATAATAATAATAATGACAAGTTAGAAAAAATATACACATAAATATTATACATCAATTTATATGAATTATACCCAATTTATATTTTTAGTACATAGCAAATTACCCTCATTTTTCTGAGAATATTAATTTATAATTTATAATTTTACTCTAGCTGTGGTTTGACAAGACCACATATAAATTATTCATATGAGCAAAAACGACAAGAACAGGGTTCTGTAAATATATACAAAATGTATTTAAAGTAATTTTTGTGGTTTCTTGATCACCATAGCATATACTCGTTACTATTTGTATAGTAATTTTGTCTTTTTTTTAAAATTTAAATGGTAAGTTACTGTCTCCTTGTTTTAAATACAAACGATTAAATATTCGATTTCCTTGGAATTTGTCATTTATAATTTGGTTATCAATAACATTTCATCAAGATTTTTTACCAATACAAATGTAAATGATATAGATGTTAAATTTTAGAAATTTCTAAAATAGATGTAATTTAAAAATTTAATTTTAAATTTTAAATATAACTTTTCTTAATTTGTTAGTTTTCTAAGAGTTTGAAATATTTTTGTTATGAAATATCTTCTGGAAATCCGATACAGTTAATATGAATAACTTCCACTGATTTCAATTGTTAGTAAAAAACATAATATAAAAATAATATACTTAACGTGTTTTAATAATATTTAATTTTAGACGCACTCAAAGGGTTTCGGTCGATGAGTATACCAAAAACACAGGCCGAAAAAGTACGTAGTTTTTACATATAAAATTATCATTTAATTATAATGAATAATTCAACAAGGTTTAATGAAATTATTTTTAATTTTTGACCGTTTTACAGTGTATGATGGGTTGTCTGATGAGAAAAGTCAATGTGGTAAGTACTTATAATGCTAACATTTTTAATCAACAATATTATGTTTATAAATAATACGCAAGACCTTCATTACAACATAGCTTATATATCTAACGTGCAAAATATGTGTGTTCAGATTAACAAGGGCAAGTTTTCGGTTGAAGAGGCGACTAAGGTGGCACAGAAATACTATGGAACGAACGAAACGATGATGAAAAAGGCAAAAGATCTCATTGACGTTTGCGCAAAAAAAGGTATATTATACTTACGATATCGGACCGTACATTTTCTAGTCGAATAATTCACTAATATCAAAGAAATACACGTATACCAAATAACTACAGGGAAATTATAAATTAAACATTTTACATAATGGAACATTAAAAACTCGACACGGTCTATGGTTAATTGGTTAATAATAATAATAATAAATCTTCACGTCTTAAGTTCAAAAATATATAAAATATTTAACAAAAGCGGTGAAGCCTCTGAGAGGACTAGTTAAAATCCCTTAATAAAAAATACTTACAAGTATTTTAATAATACCATAATTATAATATAAATAAAAAAAAAAAATTGTCTTCTCATGAGAAATCTAATTGATTATAATTTTATTTTAGGCCATTATTTTTTTCAAAATGTTGATAAATTCATATTAAATTACATTATTTTATACAATATATTTTTAGATTAACATTTATATACTGTTTTCATATTTAAATAAAAATACACTTCATCTTTAGATTAAGGTGAATATAACCATAAAATTACTAAAAAATTCATGTATATATGCATAAAAAATATCTAAGTATGCCCTTAAAACAATAAACTGATATTATAAAATGCATGAAAAAGATTAATTATTCATCATACATTTTTAATTTTTGATAGACTATTAATAGAAACTGCATGTTTAAATTCACATGAGATATGACACTAACAATAATTTATACAAAAGTATATGGGTTTGACACGATTATGTTGAATTAACGAACGCAGTACGTACGTAAGTGGTAAATAAAATAATAATTAAAAGTTTTTTTTTTTTAATTTTAAGTTCAAAAGAAACAATAAACAAATAAAATTCACAAAAACTGAATTCAAAAAATTAAATTGAATATTAATTCAAAGACAAAAAATAACCTATAAATATACGTAAAATATAATTAAAAATAATTGCTTTTATACGAGTATTTTACCAATAGGATTTATTTTTGTCTACAATGTGCACGATCAAAAGCACAATATAAACATGTATAATATTCATAAATATACTTATTCTAACATTATAAATGATATTTTTCTTTATTTTCTGACTGCAATTTTAATGTGTTTATTTGTTTTATGTGACTACGATTCACGATTTTAGCACAATCAACAACTGAAGAGTGTGCGTTGGCCGGAATTGTGACTACCTGTATCGTGGAGGAAGCTCAAAAAGTAAGTCTTAACAGATACGTATTGTGATTTAGAAATTGCAAACAGTAGCATTGTCCAAATATTCAAACTTTTCTATTATCCTTTTGTTATGTAACGCCTCGTCGTATAATATTAAGCTAAATTAAGGATTATTTCGAGCCAGAATGGGCTTTTAAATTTTATTATGTAACTATAAAAATCATCAAGGTATCGTAGTTTATTATTTTTCAATCGAAATACGTAGGAATAATCGTTATATTAGAAATAATTAATTAATAAACATCAAATTACTATATAGACTTTTGTCTACCTCTATTATTACTACATTTTACCATGTGGCAATTTCCAATAATTATCTAACATGTTTTGTTCACGATATATTATCATCTTATTGAGTTCAACAAATGACGTAATAAAATTCTATTAAATTTTTACTTTTTTATTTTTATTTAGTTATGTAATGTATTTTTTGAAATATATAAAAGATATATTATTAGTTTAAAAACAAGAATCTTAGATCTGTGGGTTCCGGAACCTAGCTATCTTGATCACCCACACACATTTGAGAGTTGAACAACTACGAATAGATGTGAATGTGTAATTTTCTTGGTTAGGTTGGGTGAAAGGGTAGGGCTTTTCAACGAAAAAACGTATAATACAGTTAATGACATTATCATGTTATTCTATTATGATTAATATTTTCATTTTTTGTTACAGGCTGGCTTAACTGGTGGACCTGGTGGATCTGGTGGCCGTTCCAGGCGAACCATTTCACCGAAATTCAGACGCAACATCGTATAAACTGTTCATGCCGTTCCTGTGATTATTTAAACGCTTTACGCCTATAACTATTAAACTAATTAATTTTATACTATATAATCATGTGCATACTTTCATGGCCGTCAATAAACATTATTTTAACAATTATAAAATCTAGTATTCATTGAAGAGTTGCAAGGGCACTCTTCTTATGACGTGTTTTAATGAATAATTGTATTTTAAATACATTTGAAGATTCAGAATATTTATCATTTAATAAATTAAAAATTTAAATTATATAACACGAAATACTATGATTCATAAATAAAGTTTTAACCAACCGTTTCAAAAGTCAGAACTTTTAAATCGTTCAATCAATCAAATATTTCAGTCGGCGGACGGGTGGAACATACAAATAAAAAGATCCACAAAACAATGTAGAAAAAATATAATTTTTACTATTGTTTGACATCAATATAGTAATTATAATAAAATTATTACGCCGTGACTTTGTGATTTCTGAATGTTTTTTTTTATTGTATTTACATCAAAAAATAATGATATTTTGATTCAACTTATCATTTAGGTACATAAATGTTTTCAATTAGAGCATCTGCTTAATAACTCAGGAAAAAAGGATATTTATTATTTTGATAAATTAAATTTCTATCGCTACCAAATACTAGCATAGTTTTCAAAATTTAGATAGTTAAAAGTATAGTATTTATAGTATAGGTACTTAAAAATTCCAATTATCATAATTTGAATAAATTTGTTATTAAAAGGAAAAATATGAAGGTATGCTTAACTTATAAATTATCCTGTATACTACATAAAACTATTGGTTACTGGTTGAGTAGTTCTTAAAATAGTTGTACGATGATTTCAGTTTCAGATAAGACTAGGGTATTCAAAAGCTCTTGGAACCTATTAATACCGGTTCTTTTTGTTATACAGTTCTAGTTTTTGTATGATCCTGGTATACTAATAAACACTATTATAATGATTCTCCGAAATTAATGGTACTGACCACTATATACTTATATTATATCCTATGGGTGTGTTTTTTTTTCGAGAATTTGACAGCAATACTGGATTTGGCCTTTGGCTTTTCAAAGCATGTTTTTACACACGTGCTTACATCTAGATTCAGTACCATGACGCCCATTCGATGTTTTGAACATTGATTTCAATTCGTTGACGGTCTGCAATTCAGAATACTACAAAACATCGTGACCACTATTATTACTGTATAATAATAAATAATAGTCCATGGCCAGTTTCAGAAATGTTCAACCTACACCATCTTTTAATATTTTTTCATCCAGTTCGTTCATAATTTACAAGGTTATACCAAATATACTCATATTTTTTGTAAGTAATGAATTTAATCAAATTCAGATATTTGGAATTTTTGAGTATTTTTAAGAACCACACTTTTTTACTATAAATTATTAAAGAAAAGACTTTTTTCAGTAATTACGGTAATGTGTATAAAACGGGATTTGAAATAATAGTTTCAGAATTGTGAAACTTTGAATACCTACTGGTAAATAACTTTACTAGGTTTAAAGATGTGGATAAGAGTTTTAATTGTTTGAATATTATAGTGACTAATATTGATTTATTATAATTTTATAATTTGTAAAACTTATCAGAGTATAAAATAATATAAGGATTAGACAAATTATTAAATATATTTTATTTTGTATGTAAGATCACTGTTCTATACCATCAAGTTTATTTTTGACGAAATTAACTTCCAGATACAACAGTTGTTACCAGGCGATCTGATGTCATTTAAATCAATCGATACTGTTGTTGACGAAAATGAAAGTGTAAATTTTCCGATTGAATTTTTAAATTCATTAGATATCCCTGGAATGCCACCACATAATCTTCGATTAAAGATTGGTTCCCCTATTATTCTCCTCCGTAATTTGAAGCCACCTCAATTATGTAACGGTACGCGTTTGGTCATCAAAAAGATTACCGGAAACATTCTTGAAGCAACCATTTTGTCTGGGAAGTTTAAAGGAAAAGTGGTCCTGCTGCCACGTATTCCGATGATACCATCAGATTCTACCATACCCTTCAAAAGGCTACAGTTTCCAATTCGTTTAGCTTTCGCCATGTCTATAAATAAATCTCAAGGTCAAACAATGTCCATTTGTGGTTTGGATTTGGAAAATCCAAGTTTTTCTCATGGGCAACTATATGTTGCGTGTTCACGTGTTGGGAAACCGTGGAATCTATTTGTGTTAGCTAAAGACAGGTTAACCAAAAGCATTGTGCACCGATTGGTGTTAAATTAAATTGAAAAATTAAAAGTATTTATAATTTAAAAAATTAGATATTAACGTTTAAAAATTTAAGACTGTCTGCTTAATATCAAGTGTAAGAACATTTAGCCACAGCTTTTATTTTAATTTTAGTACATAATAAAATCTAATAACTTCTTATTTGATTTTCGATTTAGATGGTAAAAAATAAAATGAAGATAATCGTCTAATCAATTTATTTTAAAGCAGGTGATTCTTTTTTGAAGAAAAGAGATTTGTGTCAACATTAAACACTCTTAAATATATATATATAGTACGCATTGTGATCATTAGAAATTCAATTATCAGAACTTGAATAAATGCATTTTTAAAAGGTATAAGTGGGTTGAGCATGCTTGAAGAATTGCTTTGTACCATTTATATTACTTTATGCTTTGTACAACTACATGTACTAGCAACGTAGTTTATCAGGTTTATTTATTTTTTTAATTTTTATTTAAACCAAGCCAGCCAAAAGATGCGGTAAAAATTGTAATAGTCAAATAGGGTAATTACAACAGATTGGTAACATCATATTACATATTCGACCGTGCACCTATCTAAAACCTATCTAATACATATAGTATATATACTAGATATTAGTAAGAACCTAGCGAGGAACAATACTGCAGCAGCTATACCACATATACAATATTTTTACTATAAAGCATTTGGAAACAGATTAATATACTTTAATTATTTTCTTGATAAGCGATAACGTATCGATATAATATACTTCTATCGAAATGTAATAAGTACGCAACAACACATAAAAACATTAAACAATATACCTGAATAACTGTGTATTACGTGTTTAAGGAATAATATGAACTTAAATTATAATTAACATTAAATATCTATAGAATTATATTGGAACCTTAATGTTTTTTTTGTTCAATGAAATTCTGCTTAAATCGTAATAAATTTACTTATATTCAATATTATTTTTATAATATAAGTACTATATTATAATGATTAAAGCTGAGATTTGTATGTAATATAACTTTTTTCTAGTGTTTAGAGCTGTAACCAGAAAATGAGTTTTAGGCAATAATGTTTAATATAATTGTATTTTCATTATTTTACTTCTTTTAAACAATTTTTATATATATTTTTTTTTAGGAAATATACTGTGATAATTTAGAGCATTAAAATCCTAGATTTGGTGAATGATTAGAATTACAATATGATTTGGTGGCGAATGGTGATTTTAATCATTATAAATAATTTTTGTTGTATGACTATTGTTTGAAAAAATAAATACTATAAAGAATTAACGACAAAACACCATTCCAAGAGTTTAGAAAATAGTCAATAATCATTCATATTACCTAATAGTTATCAATTATAAGTATTTTGAAGTATTATCTACATATAATGATTATTCAATAATGAGTATGACGTGATTCTGATTCAAATATTCGTGGATTGTAGAAAAATCTAACCTAACTAAGTGTAGATATGAAATAAAATTCATCCGTCGATACCAATATAGTTACCCGAGTTTCAATTATCGAGTTTGTTTTTTTTCATTTATTTTTCATTTATTATTCGTTATTATTTTGCCACTATCACAAAACACACACAGGTACTGCATTAATAATTAGCTGTTGATAGTTTCTCCGTAACAGTAATTTTTTGAACACAATATATCATAAAATAAATACACAGTCTACACACATACTTCATATTATAACGTCAACGGCAATGTGGGTTTTCAAACTAACATTGCTATATGTATCATTTACCATAATTATATTATAACATTTATAAATATCTGTAGTAGTACAATATGCGTTACTATGATATTATAAATTTGATGTACTGACACATGTTTAAACAATACATGTGAAAAATTATTAAAAAATGTAATTTACAAAAAATACATAGATTAAATGATAAAGTATATTATTTAGTTACATAGCTTTCGAAGTGTCAGCCATCCGATGATCATGTGCATTATTGATTCACTCTAATTGTAAAAAATAACAATAAAAATATAATGAATATTATTAAGATAAATGTTATTTCTTAACTTATTATTAATTTAATTTACATTAATAACGTATTGTTTGTATGAAGCTTCTATGTAACTTAATGATTATAAAATAAAACAGCGATCGTTATTAACCTTCGCCGGTCAACGGCCACAACCCATGGCCTAAAATTCATCCTACTACACCGTGAACATAAACAATACAAATACATTTACAATAAATACCAAAAATAAAAGTAATATGTTTATCATCACTAACCATAACGAAACCAATTAAATATGGTAAACAGGCGACAGAATTATCAGCACCGACCGACTGCTCAATTAATGAATTTGATTTGTAAAACGCCGAATCAAAAAAAAAAAACGTAGTAGGTTGCCTAATAATATTATATCATCTAGAAAAAAAAATAAATCAAAACATTTAATTTCTTCTAATCGCTATTCCCTAATTTTGCTACTAATACGAAAGATAATGCTACGGGTACTAAAAATAATGTCAAACATAAGGAACCACTTCTACCATCGCCAATTTTCATAAAATCTCCAATTAATTCTTTGATCTATGTAAAAACTTAAGAAAAATAACAAAAAATGAGGGTTTTTTATGCAAATATACAATGAAAAATATCAAAATAAATCTCCATTTTTCTAATATTCACTGTATCATAATGAAATTGTTTCATTAAATATTACACGTATCAGGTACTTACACGAAGAAAAATCCTACAGTCATTTTTAAAAACCTATATCATTCAATCTTTATTGAATACATCCAAAAAGATATTGAACCAAACAGATAACTAATAAAAAAATATAATTTATCAACTAAAAACACAAATTAAAGAACCCCTCCTACTGTTTTTCGTAAATCTT